AAAAATATAATGAATTATATACTAATAGAGAATTTCTTGAAGAATTTTGGAAAATATGAGTCAAATATGAATACATAACCAAAAATATTGATAAATATCCTGATAGGATGTTTGCATATCATAGATAATTATTACTTCAATATATTTTTATAACTACAACATATTTGAGTATTTTTCTTTTCATTCTTATATTTTTGTTCATAAACTTTTTCAATTCTTGGAAAAAACATTTTAGATAAACTTAATTTTTTATCATTTTTGCAACAAAAACAAAACCAAACATCACAAGTAGTTGTACTATTATTTCATGTCTTTTATAAGAAAATATATCAAAATTTAATTTTTCATCACTTGCAATTTTTTTCATTTTTATTTTTATAATGTTCTGTAGTTAAACCAAAACTATCAAAAAAATATAAATTTTCCCTATTTTTCCACGCTGCTACCCAATGTTGACCTGGTTTATCACTAGTAGTTGTATTCCATATCCACCCACCTTCCCTAAAATTTATTTTCGGGTAATAATCAGCTGGAAAAACACCTTTGAATTTTTTTTATAATGTTATTATTATTTCCCAAATAAATTAAATTATCAGATGTTAAAAACGTTTCTAACATATAATTTATATCCATTTTTTATTTCACTTTCTCAATGATTTTCGTCGAGCAAATAAAGATGATGAACGATATGGGCTAGTACTTCAATTTAAGTACGATGTAGGAGTTGACAGTCTAGATGTACGTGTAGTTGATAATGATGGAGTAGATAATTTTGGGATTTGTGTGGTTAATGATAACAAGGGTGTACATAAAATAGGTGTGTATAAACCTCTCCTTCTATGACTACCAGTTGTGTTGCTTCCATTAGAATTTATATACATTTCATTAATTTTATTATTATTATATTATGAAATTGGCATTCCCTTTCTTTTTAACTCAGGTAAAATAGATCTTAATTCATGTTCTTTGATATTTAACGTTATATTAGATATTAAATCATTTACTAAATAAAAGTAGGTAAAATTCAATTTTTCCCCATTTATTTCTAAATCCTTTTTGTTTATACCATGATTAGGTATTTTAAATCCATAACTCCTTTGATTTCTAAATTCTCCGAAAAATATAAGCGTATGTGATGCAGTTATTGCTGTTTTAAATTAATATCAATTCCAAAATCACCTGTATTTTGACCCGATAAAACTTTAGTAAAACTAACTTGATTAGACGATAAATCAAACAAAATAATTCTACTTTCAGCCTTAAATGAGGGATAATATAAATTTATTTTTTTATTTTTTTATTTAAAATTTTCTTTAAATTTTAATATGCTTCTTTTCGTTTATAATACTCATATGTTACAGCACGATTGGTACGTGCACAACAATAAGTGAAATTTAATAATTTATATAAGTGACAATTTTCCTGATATGAAATTTAAATCTTGCTGTATCTTGAAAAACTATAAAAATTCTTGATGGTAGTCTGCCTGTGAATACATCAAAAGAGTTAATTGCTTTGGATTCAAAAGGAAGGGTTTTTGTAACAACTCTCGTATTATTTACAAAATATTGACACTCTATTTTTTTGTATAGTTTATTACTTATTGCTTTACTCAATTGATCATTTGGTTTAAACATTCTAGTTATAATCTTAAAATCACTAAGATGGATATCGTAATTTTGAGGATTATCAGCAGCTAAAAAACCACGAAACAATGTTTTTCTGTTCTTGCAAATTGAAATTTCAAATCACTAGCTGATGTAATCCAACTTGTTTTACCATAACCATTTATTAAAGTCGTAACAAGCTGATCTATAATTTTACAACTTTTATTATTTGTAAGCTTTACACATACATTTTCCCTTTTAAATCAGCTTCTTTATTCGTATTTATATTTCAAGCAATTTTATGTACAGTATTCAGTTTTTCAAATCCATCCAATATATTTAAGTTCACACTGGCTAAATTGTCATGTGATTTGTATGGTGTGCATAAAATACTTTTTAAATATAAAATCCTATCATATTGATTAGTAATATTATTTACTAAAACACCATTAATAAATAAATTTACATTACACAACATGGTAGTTAAAGGTCTTGGATAAATGTATATGTTCAAATTATTAAATATAGTGGAACCGGTCATTAATTTTGTTCTACCAGTCATATTGAAGTCACCAGTTCTCATTAAACCATATTCAGACATATTGACATTCAAATTTCTTTGCATATGCTTCATCAGGTTTGGGATTTAAATTAATAGGTCCAAATTTGAAAAATGTGAAATTTCGAGTAAATGGTTGAAACATATTTAAATTATTACTTACAACATGATCATTTTTATATCTTTTATTTTCACTAACAATCGCCATAATTTATTAGTGAGAAGTTTACACAAATAAAAAAATATAAATAAAATCATAAATTTTTTTTCACAACTTATAAATATATATTATTTACAAGAAATTAAATTCATTTCTACAAAAAAATTCATTAAATCATCATCTATTCTCCTTCTTTTTTCTTTGGAAATCTTTTTTATTTTATTTTTCTTTCTCTTTTACAACACATTCTGATAATTATTTTTTAATAAAAAATTAAGTGCAGTATCAGTTACACCCGTAGGTGGACAAATTCCATTTTTTCAGTGATAGATTAGATTTAAATTTTATATAATTCTAATATGGATTACAATATTTGATTCCATTTTCCTGTAATACAACTCCATACTCTTTATACAAATTGTTTTCACTTTCTTCATTGAAATTCATTATTTTCTTAAAATTTTAAGTGAAGAAGCATATCTAGTTCTTCGTTAGTAATGTAGTTATTACCTGAATCATCAACTCCAATTTAAATATTATATATTTTGAAAATAGAATCGAAGGAGCTTTTTCATATTTCATTATTCATATTGATTGTAAATTAAATTTAGATAATCCACCATTTAAATAAAAAAAGTTTTTTATCTAATAATAAAAAAATGAAATATTATTTGGTTTGCCATCGGAATTTCCAATACTGTTTGGTAAACAATTATGCACATTAGTTAGATCACCAAGTTCTGGGATTTTTTGTACATTTCCACTTGTAAAATGAGTAAAATTATCTGAAATATATTTTGTAAAATTCATCTGACCAATCAATCATTGGTACATCATTTAAATCAGCGGGTTTCAAACAATCTTCATTATCATCATCATCATCATCATCATCTTTAACACTTTCATCTATCATTTCCACTTATATCCACAACATGGGATGATTTTTGTATTTTTAAACTAATTTATTATCTATATTTATGAAAACAAAACTTCATACAAAATTTCGCTTTAATATTTTTTTGCAATCCTATTCAACACATTTTCCAATCTTTCACATGCTTGCAAATTCATTTGCAATTTATCTTTACAACAGATTCCATAGTTGTATAGAGAGTAAACAGATTTTGAAATAAAACATATTTTACAATAGCGATTAAAACTGCATACTTTATTTGAAAACGATTGCTTTTCCATTAGAAAGCTGTGTAAAACTGTTAACAAATCTCCAAAACTGTTTTTGTAAATGGTATACTCTTGAGCAGTTTCTTTTATCTTTTCTTTAAAAACTTATACTAATATGGTGTCTGAAAGTATATGATAGCAAATGATGCAAAGCATAAAACATAAGATGAATATATACCCTACAATTTTTTATTTTTACAAAAGAAATTTTCTTATTATTCCTATTCCATTTTTTTATATTAATAAATGGTGCTTTAAAGAAAGATAATTTTTACAATTATTCTATACATTTTTGTTCATTTATATTTATTTTATGGTTTTTAAGGTATGATTTATATTTTAAAATAAATTTGTAAATTTTTTTTGATGAGTAATTGTCAACTCGTTACTCTGATAAAAAGTCGACAATATAATTTTTAGAAAACGTTCTTTTAAAACTTTTTCATGAAGTTGAAACAAATACACTCTATTAAAATAACAATGAATTGTGTCACACCCATTCATCATCACCCTCATTGCCGATCAGTAAGTCACCACAACAAAAACAGTCCTTCTCAGGACTATACCAACCTGGATGATCTACATTTACAAACAAGTAACACTACTCCCGGGTTCAAACCATTTACTTCTTTAGACTTCCTTAAATCATTGATATTTTCTTCTAACATTGCTACCCTGGACTTTAAAATTTGAACTTTAATATTCGCTGTATCTGAATGTATTTCACTTTCTTTAATGAGAAAACAAACAGATAAGAATAAAAGACAAAAATAACAATCATACATTTTTCTTTTATTGTTCAGAATCATCAATATAAATACTCTTTACAAAAAAATTAAAATAATAAAAATAGTAACTAATGCACACACAATAAACTACAAATAGCATCAACATTAGCATACTTACCTTGATGGGTAGTAAGATGTATGCGTTGTTAAGATCAATTACAGCACCCAGAAGACCAAAAGAACTTACATATAACCAAATTGTAGAAACTTTAACACAACATCTTGAGCCAAAACCAATAGTTATTGCTGAACGATATAAGTTCCACAAGGCTGAGCAAGGACAAGAGGAATCGATTAGGGAATATGTTGCCAAATTGCAGAGATTAGCAGAAACATGTGAATTTGGGAGTTATCGAGACGAAGCAATTCGAGATCGATTTGTTTGTGGATTGCGAGATCGATCGATTCAACGTAAGCTACTAGGCGAAGTTGATTTGACTTTAAGTCTGCGGTAGAAAAAGCTTGTGCGGCTGAATTAACGGAGAGAGAAACATCAGCGTTACACAGAGAATTACTGAACCAAGTGCAAATAGCATCCCTCGAGTGTTTTCGCTGTGGTAAGAAAAATCATTCTCCCGATAAGTGTTATTTTCGGAAGTCCAAATGTCACGGTTGTCAAAATTATGGACATATATTAAAGAAGTGTCCCAGGAGAGATGGCAACAACATGAAGAATACAAAAAGTGAAAAGTCGAGAAGGGAAGATGCTAAGAAAAGAAAAAAAATCCAGCGAAATTCACAACGTTAAAACACATAGCAACGTTGACAGTGACAGCGAAAGCCAAGAAGAAGATATGAAAACATGGCCGGTGTTCACATTAACTGATTCGAGAAAGAAATGTAAAGAGATGGAAGTATTAGTCCTAATGGATGGAAAGTCAGTAAAGATGGAAGTGGACACGGGAGCTGTGGTATCAATTATGCCAGAAAATGTGTGGAGAAATGTGTTGTCTGCAAAATTCATACGCAAGTCCAACGTTAGACTGCAAAGTTATTCTGGGCATGAAGTTCCAGTGAGGGGAGAAGTAGACGTTTGCGTTGAACATGGAAAACAAAAAGCTAAGTTACCAATTGTAATAACTCAAAATAAAGGTCCTGTGTTGTTGGGACGAAATTGGCTGACAGTTTTAAAGCTTAACTGGAGTCAAATAAAACAAGTAGTGGCAAAACCTGTCAAAAATGTGGAGCAATTAATAATTCAATATGCGTCCTTATTTGACAATTCGTTGGGACAGTAAAAGGAGTTAAGGCACATTTATACATGAAACCAAACTCAAATCCAAAGTTTTTTAAACCTAGATCAGTCCCGTTTGCGCTGAAAGACAAGGTAAAGGAAGAAATCTACCGTTTAGAGAAACTTGGGGTCCTGGAAAAGGTAGAGTTTTCAGATTGGGCGACGCCAATCGTGCCAGTGTTGAAACCTGATGGTAGTGTACGGATTTGTGGCGATTATAAAGTGACCATTAACCAAAGTCTAGACATTCAAGAATATCCAATGCCGACAGCTGAAGAACTATTTCCAAAGCTACGAGGAGGCGAGAAATTTTCAAAGATAGATCTGTCGGCAGCATATCAGCAAGTTGTTTTGGACGAAGAATCACAACGTTATGTTACAATTAACACACATTTGGTTTGTATAGGTATACAAGACTGCCATTTGGAGTTGCAGCTAGCCCAGCTATTTTTCAAAGAACGATGGATATGGTTTTGAATGGTTTACAGGGAGTAGGAGGTATACTTGATGATTTGATAATTACGGGTAAAAATGATGAAGAACATTTGCGGAATCTTGAGAGAGCACTGAAACGTCTTCAAAATATGGGAATCAAATTGACGAAATCAAAGTGCGTTTTTTGGCAACCTTCAGTGGAATATTTCGCATTTGTCGTGGATCGACAAGGAATCCATCCATCGCCTCGTAAAGTTCAAGCTATAAGGGAGGTACCAACTCCGGAAAATCCAACAGAATTGAAGTCATTTCTGGGGCTAGTGAACTATTATCGTAAGTTTATTCCAAATATGGCAAAGTTGTTTAATCCTCTGAATTGTTTACTGTCACAAGAAGTTACTTGGAAATGGTCGGAAGAATGTCAGAAATCCTTTGAGACTTTAAAAGTCCTATTGGAAACGGCACCAGTATTAACACATTACGACCCCAAGAAACCCGTGAGATTAGCGACAGATGCCTCATCGTGTGGAATAGGTGCTGTTCTATCAAATGTATCGGACGAAGGAGAAGAACAACCAATAGCTTATGCCTCGAGAACACTTTCTTCTAGTGAGCAAAACTATTCTATGATCGAGAAAGAGGCCCTTGCAATTATTTTTGGATTGAAGAAGTTTCATCAGTATGTGTATGGAAGACGTTTTTCTTTAATCACAGATCATAAGCCGCTTACTATGATACTGGGACCTAAACGGGGTGTTCCTGTCTTGGCAGTCTCCCGCTTGCAGAGATGGGCGATTCAACTGGGTGCATATCAGTATGATATTGAATACCGAACTTCAAAGAACAATGCGAATGTTGATGCGTTGTCCCGGTTACCTAGGAAAAGTGTTGAAGAACCGGACGAATGGGAGGAAGAGGCAGCGGCAGTAAACAGCGTTCAACTGAAGCGGTCACCTGTTTCAGTAAGTATGATTAGAGAAGCTACGCAAAAAGACTCAGTATGGTCTCGTGTAGTATACTATCTGTTACATGGTCGGCCAGAAGGAAAGTTACCAGAGGAACTACAATATTTCTTTACAAAGCAAGACGAGTTTACTGTAGAAGAAGGATGCCTATTGAGAGGAACCCGAGTGGTAATTCCAACCAAATATCAAGGAGTGGTGTTGTCGGAGCTGCATATAAATCATCCAGGAATGGTGCGGATGAAATCTTTAGCACGTTTACATGTGTGGTGGTCAACATTAGACCAAGACATTGAACAGACGGTGAGAGATTGCACCAGTTGTCAATTTAATCGCTGTAAATCTCCACTTAAAGTAAATTATCCATGGATAATTTACTTTAATAAAAAAGTCAATCCAAAAGATATTTCCTGGATAATGTGTAATTATTGTGGGTTTGAGCAAGGATTTCAACAGCATTGTATCAAGTGTAAGAAAAAGTTGGCTGACTATTTTTGTGGCGAATGTAGGGTTTACGATAATTATTCGAAAGATCCTTATCATTGTGTAAAATGTGGTGTTTGTAGAACTAAATTACATAAATCATTTCATTGTGATACTTGTGGAATGTGCTTCGAAAAGGAAAAAGGAAAAAATCAATATCATATATGCAAAAAAGATAGTGTACATGATCAATGTATGATATGTTTTGAAGATACATTAACTGAATTTGGAATGTTAAAATGTGAACACAAAATACATCTTGATTGTTTGAGACAATTATTATTAAAAGGATTTTCTAATTGTCCGATAGGTAGAGCTGATTTAATAACACCAACTCCCATCCCATCAATTAAACGAGCATCTTTAAAATTGTGTCTGGTACAATCTGATATTATCCTCAATAAAATACAAAAACATGAATTTTTTTATTATATGAAGTATTATATGAAGTATTAGAAGTATTTACAAATTGATATATATATAAGCGAATTTTAAGACATTTTTCTAAAAAATACACCATTGTGTTGTTTAAATTAGTTTCCTGGATGAGTTCTTTTAATTGATCAAGTAATTTTTTTCTTTTCTCAAATAGATCAATTAAAAAATTTGCTTCTTCCTCATTTTTACATATGATATTTCCTTTTATAAGTGAAAAAATTGTCTATCAACACAATTTTGTTCGGTGTTTAAAGATAACATATTACAAGAGTATTCAGGATTTTTAGCGATTTCATTGTTGTATTCTTCAAGTTTTTTTTTCGGTTGGACGTCCTCTCTTTTTTTTATACTTTCAGTAGCATCCATTAATTGTCTTTTTTTTCCAAACCATTCATTAACATTATGAGGAGGACTTGTAAATACTAAATTGGGATGAGCAAATACTTGATCTTGATTCACAGTATTATTAGGTGTTGCAAATTCTTGATCTTGGTTCATTTGTTCAGGAGGAGGAGATGTATTTCCTTGATTTTGATTCACAGTATTATTATTATTAGGAGGAGTTGTAAATCCTTGATCTTGATTAAATTCAACGTCTTCAAGTTCTCTTAAAATAGTGTGCGGTGTGGGGATATTGTAATTTAAGAAAGAATATGTGCTTGGTGACATCATACTTGTAGTTGAGATTGGAGACATGATATTCATAAGAGTTGCATTTTTTTAGTAGGAGAATTTTTTGATGAATATACATTATTAATTATGGGTAAAGGAGATGATTTTGGAATATCATCATGATAAGTATTCAAACGAGTTTTACCATCATTTCCCTCTGTATCTTCATCCATTTGCTGTGGAGAATCTGGAGATGATGATGCACGATTTTGATTTTCGATGTCGTTTGTCTCAGAATTTGTCTCAGTATTTGTCTCAGTATTTGTCCAATTCGGTATTGGTTTTTGTAGTGAAACATATTCATTATTCTCTTGAAATTTATTTTCTTCTTGAAACTGATTTTCTTCTTGATTTTGCTTTTAAATTTTTTTATTTTTCTTTATAAACATATCAAAACGATCTTTGTTTCTTTTATCTTTCAAACAAAGTAAAAACTTTTCATAAGACACGTTTGATGCCATTTTTTCTTTATAATAAAGAAATTTTTAACGAGTATGATCTTATATACTACTCGAATTTGATATAAAAATTGTATTTCCTTTCATTTCATCTATTTATGGTATGATTACCCTATTGAACTTGCTATATACCGTTGGTTGTACTTGGTACAATCTGATACTATTTTTTGCTTAAATTTAGAATATAACCTTGACTTTTCACTTTGATTGACATTACTGAGTGTCTAGAAGTTACTAATTAGGATGCTTTGCATTTTTTTGACGTCAATGAAAAATTACTACATGTTTTTATTACTATATATGGCTAATATATGCATGATAACCTTGAACGCTCTATATTTGCATGCTTAAATTTATGTTTGGTTTTTAATACAAAATTTGCAAGAAATTTGTTTTTTTGCAGAAAAATCATTTGTTGCCCATATATAAGACTCGTTGTTTGAAATTGTATGCATTGAAGAACTAATGTGTCATATATTTGTTAAGTTTGTTTTATAAGATGGAATCATAAGGATCAACTGCAAACACATCAGACAATTAAAGTCCAAATACATCAGAAAATTCAAGTCCAAACACATTAAATTGGCTTGAAAGAAAATTTTATTATATAGCTGATGATGATGATGTAAACATCGAACTTAGCGAAAATTATAAAGAAATTCGCGAATTAACAAAACAAATACTTGACGTGCAGATTGAATTAGAAGAATTGAAAGAGAAGCTAACGCAAAATGAAGCAAAAACTAATGAATATTCAAAAGAAATTCAAGCTTTGAAAGATGAATTGAAAGAGAAGCAAGCGCGAAATGAAGCAAGTCATATTGAATATTTAAAAGATATTCAAGGTTTGCAAGATGAATGCAATTGTTTAAACTAAACAATTCGTTAACTGATTATGAAAAAATAAAATAAAATACTCAAGTAAAGTTCAAATTAGCACAAGCTAAGTTAGATGAAGAACTTCAAAATTGAAGTGAGTGTGATATCAAAAAACGATGATAGACAAAGTGAAATATAGTTCATATATAAAATTTAATAAAGTTAATCAAAAATTTTGTTTAAACGATTAATATGCAGTTGTTTTTCATCTTCGGATATATTAACATCTAAAAAAATAAATTCTAAATAATCTTTACATTTTCTAATTACATTTTCCTTTTTTCTTTTCTTTTCTTCTTTTTTTTTGTTTTTTCTTTAGTTCATTTAATTTCATGTTGTGTTCCAATTGTCTTTTTCTTGATTTGGTGGCTTCTTCAAAATTTAATTGTTTCTTTTTCAATAAAGTATATCATTTCATCGCAAACTTCTTTTGCTATGTGATTGTATATTTTATTATTTCTTTTATTCTTTTGTTGAACTTTTGCTTGATGTCTTCTGTATCGTAATATTCTTTCTCTTTGACATTTTCCCATTTTTTCTTTGTTTGCTTTCACCGTTTGTTTCTCACTGCTTTGGCGATAAATGTATGGTTGCAAGTGAAGTAGATGAAATAAATGCTTGAATTTTATAGATCAAATTTTTTGCGCAAATATAACCTTGTGACCCCACAAACATACTGTTTTTGCGTTTACTTGTTTCACATATGTTAAAACTTGCGATTTTTGTCATGACACAAACCGCATTGAGTATTCAATACGTTAAAGTAGTGAAAAAAAAAAATTTGCATCTAGATTTTATAATAAAACAAGTTTATATTTTTCGATTTTTTTGAAGTTAGTAGTATCAGATTCAGATTCTATCATCACCCATAAGATAATTGAAGATAATTGTTTAATACATGTGATGACAGCAAACGGATTTTGTTTGAGTTATTATTAGTGTTGTCTAAAATTTACACAATTCTGTTTTGAATTTATTTGGAAAAAAAAATTGTTTCTATATATTAAAACTTGCGTTTTCTTGTAACAACACAAACTGCATTGATTGTTAGTAGTTGAAGGTCAAGGTGTGTTTTGTAACTCGTGTATCACAATGACTTCGACGCCAAACAGGAAATTTCTCTACAATATAATAGATGATATGGTGGCTAAATGTGAATATCGCATCGATACACGCATGGAATTTATAGAAGACATATTAGAGTTGGCGCGCTCTGAATTAAAAAAACAAAATTACGATCAAGTTCAAATTCATCAATTTTTTCATGTGTGTAAAGTTGAAATCAAAGAAATCAAAGAATTACAAAAAGAACGCGAAAAACTGAAAAAGTTATACAGTAAGTAAAAAGTTTCTGTCTGAGGATGACTTTGAAATAAATCGAAAATTTACAGTTCTCGTCATGTTTTGATTCATATTTTGCAATCTCAAGATGTCTTGTTTCTTCGGAATTTCTTTTATATTATACTTCTTTAAATTGTCGGCTGGTCATGGTTTTTATACAGTAAATGTTAGAATTTTACTAAATATTAATACAAATCTTATATTTCGATTTTGTTGAAGATAATAGTTTAATAAATGTGATGACAGCGATGGAAGATAATCTTTTAATAAATGTGATGACAGCGATGGAAGATAATTTTTTAATAAATGTGATGACAGCAAACAGATTTTGTTTGAGATATTATTAGTATTCTCTCAAATTTACACAATTCTGTTTTGAATTTAGGTATGATTCTATGTATTAAAACTTCTGAATTTTGTCATAAGACAAACTGCTTTGATTATTAAATACATTCTCTCGGGCAGTCAGTCGGTACGACTAGGACTGTTTACGGTTTGGGCACAGAATAGATACATACAGAAGAGCCACTCATCGAAAAATCTGTCCCTTACTTGTAGTGCAGAATATCTTTACAAGAATTGTAAACTGTGTGCAGATCATTTTGAGGACTGCATGTTCACCAGCATGGAAAAGAAGAGATTAAATCCTCAGAGTAAGCCAACTCTATTCAAAATTCCAAATCCTCCACCCCAAATTGGGAAAAAACGAAGCGCAATTGAAAGAAAAGAAATTCAATATGTTCCATCAGGTAAATAAGTAATTTTTCACATTTTATTTTCCAATAGATTTCAAGTAAGTTTAAATAAAACAATGAAACACTATTTTTACAAAAAATGAGGAAAAGAATTCTTAAAAATTATACACATAATTCACTTGGCCAGCTACATAGAATGAAGTAGATAAAGAAACAGGGAGAACTGAATGATTACAAAAAAAATTTGATTACAGCAAAGAAATCTCAACATGAAGAAATAGCCAATGTTACAGGTTAGTTGGTGGCATGCAATAACATGTACATAAAGTTGTTGATACTGACTTAATTAAAACACTTTGAAGGAATAAGGGAAGAGCAACTTAGCAAAGAGTGCAACAATAAGCATGGTGAAAGTTTTAACATTGATGAGATGGAAGGTTGGAGAGTGCAACTTTTCCAGTTTTTATATGTGGCATCTAACCCTGTAGTTGCACATTTCTTTATAGAAGAAAATAAAACAATGGAAGGCAACCAAGTTTATGATGTTCCAACGAATCAATCAAACGAAAATGAAGAAGATAAAATGTAATGGTTTTGCAACAGCTAGATTACATTAAGATTTTTTAACAAAGTTTTTCAATGACCACAAATTTTCATTAGACAATCCACCTGAGTGTTCAAAACGAGATTTCAGTGGTCAAACAAACCAATCTCTCTCAAATAACACCCCTAGGAAGAGAAAACAAAAAACAAGAATTCAAACTAAGAAAAAAAATACGAAGGCTGAGCAGAAAGATTAAAAATCTGGTGAAAGAGGATATCGAATGCACATTAGAAGCTGCACTAAAAAACCTGCCTGAGCATCTAGCCAGCTTTATAAGGTTACAAATGAAGCTCCACTCAAAAAAGAAACATGGTCGAAGATACTCACCAGAATTACAATCATTAGCTGTCTCTTCATGCCATGCTAGTGGAAAAGCATACAGGATTCTATAAAAGCTTTTTATTCTGCCATCAATGACATCAATAAGATTTGTTTCAAGAATTCCTATGAAAACAGGCATACTTAAATTAAATGAAGATATGATCATCGCACTTTGCTGGACAATTTAAGCAATCGTCTCAGGAACCTGAAAAAATCAGGTGACTCAACGGGATTTGAACCCATGACCTCTGCGGTGCCGGTGCAGTGCTCTGACCAACTGAGCTATGAAGTTACAGTGGTGAGCAGGTCAATATTGTTGGGCTCATGTTTTCTCGTGAAAGGAATGTCGTATGAATGTTTTATGCAGTGCGGTGTTTGAAATTAAATGAAGATATGATCTTCGCAAATTAAATGAAGATATGATCTTCACCTGATTTTTTCAGGTTCCTGAGACGATTGCTTAAATTGTCCAGCAAAGTGCGAAGATCATATCTTCATTTAATTTCAAACACCACACAGCATAAAACATTCATACGACATTCCTTTCACAAGAAAACATGAGCCCAACAATATTGACCTGCTCACCACTGTGTCATTGGTCAGAGCACTGCACCGGCACCGCAGAGGTCATGGGTTCGAATCCCGTTGAGTCACCTGATTTTTTCAAGTTCCTGAGACGATTGCTTAAATTGTCCAGCAAAGTGCGAAGATCATATCTTCATTTAATTTCAAACACCGCACTGCATAAAACATTCATAAAACAGGCATACCACAAGCAACATTAAACCTATTAAAAGAGAAAGTGCTACGTATGAGTGAAATGGAAAAGACATGTACATTATGTGTTCATGAGCTATCTTTAAAGACCCACCTTTACTACAAAATTACAGATGACAACATAGTAGGTGTGGAAGACTTTGGTGGTGGGAGCAGAATAAACAAAGTTGCAACATCTGGTCTTGTGCTAATGTTAAGAAGTGTTTCTGGGGGGTGGAATTAACCATTGGGTTATGTACTTGTCAACGAGTCCTGTCCTGTTGATGTTTTGGAAGAAATAATCAAAAAAGTCATTAATAAATTGAAGGGAATTGGATTGAATGTCCTGGTCATTACATCAGACATGGAGTCCAACTTCTATAGCTTATCTCTTCGCCTAAATGTAAATTGTGACCAACCATGGTTTCTGCACAATAACAAAAAAGTTTGCCTCATGTTTGATCCACCACATCTAATAAAGTGCACAAGAAACAATTTGATAAACTACAATTTCCAATTTGGACAACATGTTGCCAGTTGGAAGGACATACAGAACTTCTATGTAAAAGACAAAATGCTATCCATCAGAACTGCTCCAAAGTTGAGAGATAAACACATCCATCCAACTAACTTCTAGAAAATGAAAGTCAAATATGCTACACAGATTTTTAGTCATACCATTGCAGCAGCTAATTGCACATATGTCAGCTTGGGAGGATTATCATCTTGTGCCAGTGGAACTGCAGAGTTTCTCTTGAAGTTTGATTCCCTCTTTGATTGTGTAAATAGCTCCAAGCTAAAAGCAATGAAAGAGTTGAGAAGACCAATCACAACAAAGAGTTCACACATCACATTTTTGCAAGAATCCTTACAATTTATTAAAAAACTAAGGTTTTCAATGGCAATGAGGATGTAACAGACAGGATAAAATCCCTAAAAGGTTGGTTGGTTGCAATTAGTGCAATTATAAACATCTGGAGTACATTGCAAACCGCCCACAACTTTACTTACCTACTTACCAGAAGGCTGAACACCGACCCACTTCAAAACTTTTTTGGAAGCATACGACAACAAGGGGGGAATTGCGACAACCTCAAACCAATACAGAGCATTTCGAAAGTTGTTCTTTAGTGCCCTTCTTACATCATCAAAAGGCAACTGTATGCCCTCTTGGTTCAATGCACAACAGCGAATATATCAAAGCCAAAACATGTAGACAACATGCCACAATCCCATCCAAGCATTCTTTAAATTGGACCAGCAGATTATAGAGAACAGAATGTGACTTCTAACATCATTCAAGATAATGCTGTAGCTTATGTTGCTGGCTACTTGCTGAAAAAATCATTCAAGATACACAGCTGTCATGAATGCAAGAGAATTTTGACATCAAATGATTTTGACAGTGATCAACAGCTTTTCTGCTATTTCAAAGCATATGATAGTAAGAATTTTGGTGAGTTGAATGTCCCATCTAGAAGATACCTGGAATACATAAAGACACTGGAAGATACTTTCGTCAATTGCTTTTCTGCTACAACAAAAAATTGAAGAATTTAATGCAGAGCAGGTTATTCACAGTCCAAGAAAAAACATAGACAAATAAACCGACCCTTACCTCTAGAACTTTGATGAACAGCCAGGACAGATGACATGTCGTCCGTAATCAAGTTCTACTTTGAATGTTTCTACAAACACTTATTTTTCAATTACGATATCGAATTGACTGATGAGACATAGAAAACTCGCTGCGATTTACTGTCTCTACTCGAAAAACGAAAAAAACTGCCAATGTGCCGAACTATTTTAGTTTTTGGTTAAAAACTTGTCCATAGCACTATAAATTACATTGCGATCTGGCTGCATTCATCTGGCTGGAAACATGGCCGCCGTGTAAAGTTCCCGGATTAACTTAACCGAAAACTGGGGACACGAACATCAAAGGTTCCGACATTGAGTGGCGCTTCTGTATGTATCTATTCTGTGGTTTGGGTTTGCTTTTGATGGCCGATCTCCAAGCCGCTCTGTTGTTGCGGCCGTCTCCCAGTTGTTAGGTGGGATCTGTCTCACTTTCATGTCTCGTTTTACGACGTCTTTGTATCTGAGTCTTCCTTGGTTTCTCTTCCCTTTGCATAGTTGTGAGAACAGCAGTTGTCTTGGGAGTCTTTCCTGATCCATCCTGTGTACATGCCCCAGCCAACGAAGGCTTCTTTCTATCAGAATATCTGCAATCGAGGGGATGTTAGCACGTTTCAGGATTTCAACATTCGTGATCTTGTCCTGCCATTTGATGCTCATGATATCTCTCAGCTGTCTCATCATAAAAGCATGTAGTTTCTTTACCTGAGTTCTGTAGATGGTCCAGGTTTCTGGTCCATAAAGGAGGGTTGACAACACCACAGCTCTGTAGACTTTGCATTTTATCCTGACTGTCACATGCCTATTGTTCCACAATCTTTCCTGGAGCTTGCCAAATGCTGTACTTGCCTTCCCAATCCTGGCCTTCAGCTCTTTCTCTATTTTTGAAGAGCTGGAAACAGTGCTTCCAAGATATGTGAAGTCCGTGGCTTGGACAAGCGGGATTTGATCGATGGTGATGACTTGTGGCTCAGGAGGTGGATTGTGAAGTTTGATCGCCTGATACAAGCACTCTGTTTTCTTGATGTTTATCTTAAGGCTGAACTGGGTAGCAGCCTTTGAGAATATGTCAACAAGCAACTGTATGTCCGATGCAGTGTGAGCCACCAGAGCACTGTTGTCCGCAAACAGCATCTCTCTAATGAGGTGTTTTGTTGTTCGTGATTTTGCCTTGAAGTGGGACACATTGAAGAGATCTGCAATTAGAAAAATTAATTGCAATATACTTCCACATGGGGCTTTGTCAGCTTCCATCTATAAGAGCATACTGGGAGAGAGCTACACGTTACCCACCAATTGCTGATGAGATATCCCGAAACCGATTTGAGAAGCTCCTTGCAATACTACATTTTATTAACAATGATGCAACTGATGACATGAAAAAGGATCGTGTTTGGAAATTACGACCTTGGCTTAGAGACTTAAGAAGCAACTTTCTCAAAGTTACTCCTGAAGAACACCAGTCAATTGATTAGGTAATGGTTGCGTTTAAAGGGCTGGACAAAAAGGCAGTGACATTGGTATCTACTTACTGTGGAGCAGAACTATTAGGTGTTGCAAAGAGATGGGAAAAGAAGGAGAAGCAATATGTGGAAATTCCCAAGCCAAAGCTTGTAGATGAGTACAATACGTTCATGGGGGGCATTGATGGACATGCTTTGCTCATTGTACAAGTATTCCATAAGATCAAGGCAATGGTATCTTTACCTTTAGGTTCATACCCTTACAGTGGCTATGGTCAATTCATGGCTTCTTTTCAGAAAAAATCAGAGAGGAAAGAAACAAATCAAACTTCGTGACTTCCAAGCAACAATTGCAGAGGGATTGATTAAGGTAGGAAAAGAAAGAAAAAGAAGATGATCTTCCAATGCCTCTACATCTCGAAAAAGACCAACCACTCAACCAAATGAAGAGATAAAGTTTGATAAAATAGATCATATGCCATCCTGGGATGACAGACATCATCAGAGATGTAAAATTTGCTCTGCCTTTCGCTCTCATGTTGTCTGTGGCAAATGCAATGTTTATCTCGGCTTCAATAAAGATAGAAATTGCTTTATGGAATACCATACAAATAAATAAAATCATAAAGATTTCTACATACTGACAGATTAAAGTATTGATTGATCAAATCTCTTGTTATATTCACAATTTTCATGCTTTTGTTAATGAATACTATGTAATTATTCTAGTTTTAAACTCTAGTTTTCTTTATTATACAAAGTAGCGCTTAATGCCCAATGTGACAAATTTGTCACAAATTTTTTTAAGAAAAATTTTTTTTTATAAATTTTTTAATTGAACTTGCTATTGCTTGTTATTTTAAGGAAAAAAACCAAAGAACAGATTTTTGCATTGAGTTTCTCCCTCCTTGGGCATTTAAGGGTTAAATATCCACTACCCTTTTGTTTGATTTTTTTTTATTGACCCTCTTATACAATAATTTTTCCTTTTTATTTTTCTTTTACACATTTTGTTTTTTTTGCTTCACCAGAAAAAAAATT